GACCCAGTACAGTCATTCTTACATTCTTATGTTCTTATGCTGTTATGGTAGGAGACCAGTTTGGCTTACTGGGGAAATCCTTTGTGAGCTTAAGCACAAAAAGGAAGCTTGCAAGAAGTGGAAACTTTGACAGGTGTATAGCTCGAGAATGCAGGGGAGTTATCAGGAAGGCAAAAGCACAATTGGAATTGCAACTAGCCAGGGATGTGAAGAGTAACAAGAAAGGTTTCTACAGGCATGTTAGCAATAAGAGGGTGATTAGAGAGGGTGTGGGGCCCCTATGGGATGAGGGAGGTAACCTAGTGACAGATGATGTGAGGAAAGCTGAAGTGCTCAATGCCTTCTTTGCCTCTATCTTCACAGACAAGTCAGATCCCAGACTAATACACTAGGTAATGCACTATGGGAAAAAGGGGGACAGCCCTTGTTGAAGAAAGAACAGGTTAGGAACTCTTTAGAAAAGCTAAACATACACAAATCCATGGATCCAGATTTAATGCATCCGAGGATGCTGAGGGAGTTGGCAAATGTCCTTGAGGAGCCTTTGGCCATTACCTTTGAAAAGTCGTGGAGATAGAGAGAGATCCCGGATGATTGGAAAAAAGCAAATGTAGTGCCCATCTTTAAAAAAGGGAAGAAGGATGATCCAGGGAACTATAGACCTGTCAGACTTACCTCAGTCCCTGGAAAAATCATGAAGGGGATCCTCAAGGAATCCATTTTGAAGGGCAAGTCATGCTTGACCAATCTGATAAGGTAATTGGCTCTGAGGATATGGAAAAGTCAGTGGATGCGATATACATTGACTTTAGCAAAGCTTTTGACACAGTCTCCCACAATATTCTTGCCTGCAAGTTAAGGGAGTGTGGATTGGATACATGGACTGTAAGATGGATAGAAAACTGGCTAGACCGTCGGGTCCAACAGGTGGTGATCAAAGGCTCGATGTCAGGATGTCGGTTTCTAGCGGAATGGCCCAAGGATTAGTTCTAGGACTGGTTTTGTTCAACATCTTTATTAATGACCTGGATGAGGGGATGGATTGCACCCTCAGCAAGTTTGCAGATGACATGAAGCTAGGGGGAGAGGTAGATACACTGGAAGGCAGGGATAGAGTCCAGAGTGACCTAGACAAATTGGAGGACTGGGCCAAAAGAAATCTGAGGAGGTTCAACAAGGACAAGTGTAGAGTCCTGCACTTGGGAAGGGTTTGATTCAGATAAAATGGGGGTTTCTGTAGTATTTCCTGTACTTCCATATGTTAGGGAATAATTAAGAATTATTAAAGTTATGCTGTTGACGGCAACTGGCATGCTCATCTAATCCTACACATGTGTATGAGGAAAAATGAATGGTTTATAAACTATATGGTTTATAGTTATTGTAATACAACCGTGAAGGATGAAAAATCACAGCTTGTATTCACTCTTATAATGTCCTGATTTCTGAGATTACCTGAGCAACAGAAAAACTCAACAGCATTTTAATGGAAGTTCAGAGAAAGCTTCCCCCCGCCCCAGTTAAACTCAATTTAGCTTCTAGGAAATCAGTCATACTCTTACCCATATAATGGACACAGGATGGATCATGAATGTAAGCTCTACATAAGCACTCACTAGAAATCTGTCTAGCCTTTGAGATCTGCCACCCTTGCACCAGTAGGCAAAATGCTGACTGATACTCCAAGTTAGCATATACTTAGCTAGCAATGTTTTCAGATCAGATTCCATATCACCACTGCTCACTGGCATCCACTGACAATGTCCCTATTTTCTGAAGAGATCACCACAGTGGCTGAGGAATGCTTAGCCTTCTCTGCTTTTATCTGAAGGGGGGCTATATCTAGGAGAGCTGTACCTTCCATGCCGCTTAGTCTTCTCCTGTCATGAGATCATCTTCCTCAAAGAGCTTATTGGGACAGCAGTTTTGGGTTAGCCCAGTCCACAATATCCTTACTCTTTAAACATTTTTATACCTCTTTGCTGTCAGTTAAGCAACTGAGGTTTCAGGATTTGATGGCTAGAAGTTGCTTGAACCAAGTACTTGCCAAGCAAGATAAGCAGTTGGATATTCAATATTCTGTGCACTAAAATAGGTAGCCCCACCTTGAGTAATCTGTTTCTCCTTTATCTTCACTGGTGACTAAATAGCTTTGTATTAGAAGCTAAGGATATTTCTGTGTGTGTATCTATTGAATTTATTTAAGAATTTCATTTATAGTCCTCTAACAAGAAATTGAGCAGTCAATAACCATGTGTGCCAAAATCTCTTGCACATCAGACCCCTTATCCTCAGTCAGCTGCAAAGACCAAAGTAGACAAAATACCCCATTATGACTGCCACGTGCCTGGTGATCTATGGGAAATGATTTGGATTATAAAAGAAAGATGTCTTATCAAAAATTTTCATTGCCATTATAGACGATTTCTGCAGAAAGGCCAAGAAGTAGGATTTCCAGATACTTTCACAAAAAATCCCAAACATGGCGGGGGAAAAAATTTATTGAGAAGAAAAAAAAGGTCACTGCATCTTTAAATCTACACACGCTCCCCACCGACCTTCTGTCCAAGAAAAACAGAAAATACCGGACTTTTTGTTTCTGTTTTTTTTTTTACCAGACAGGGGCCACTGGACTGGCTGGGTGAAAACCTGGCAACCCTACCAAGAGGTGAGTTGGGACTAGATACACAAAGGGACGCAAGCACTTAACTGTGACTTTAGGTTCACAGTTGTCTACAGTTGTGGCTTTGCCTACACTCGCAAAAGAGATGGGAGAGAGCTCTATTAGTGCTTTAAGAAAACCAACTCCAGATGGGCTATAGCTCCCAGTGCTGGGAGCCTGTCTACACTGGCAAGTTACTATGCTGAAACTTGCTGTGCTCCAAGAGGTTAGCAAAACCCAGAGTGAGAAAGTTTCACAGTAGCATCAGGACAGTGTAGACAAGCCCTAAGTCCTACACTTAATGTCACTGAGATCCTCAGTCTAAACAGTGTCTAAACTGGGAAGTTACTGCTCTGAAATTTTCTTTCTACATTTAAATATCACTGAGATCCTCAAATTCCTCACGCAGCTGATGCCTAACCCTGCATGCCTAAATTCATGTGGTACCTAAATTTACGGTGGCAAAGACCTCAGAATACCAACATTTCTTCAGGTGGGAATGTGCAAAACTGTTTAATGCCCAAGGCTGCCAAGCTACTTAGAACACTAGCTTAGGTATAAGTCACAGTGGAATTCTCAAAGTAGGCCAGGCTTGCCTTAGTCAGGTAGGGTATGTCTACACTACAAAGTTAATTCAAAATAACAGCAGTTTTGGATCAACTTTAATAGAATCTACACAGACAAACCGCTATTTCGAAATACATTCAACATAGTGGAGCCCTTATTTTGAATTTGGTAAACCTCATTCTACGAGGAGTAAGTAACACCAAATTTGAAATAGCTATTTCGAATTAAGTGCTGTGTAGACTCTTAATTCGAAATAGGGGGCCTCCGGCCCTTCCCAGGGAGCCCTGGTGGCCACTCTGTGCACACCCAGGAAAACTTACCCTCCTCTCCCCCAGCCCCATAGCCATTAAAGAAGTAGACCCTGGCCGCAGTGCCTGTGCCAGTTCCAAGCTTGCCAGCCCAGAGCCAGCAGTGGCCACCGAGGCCCCTGACCCAATGGCCCCCAAAAATGAGCCAGCAAGCCACTGGCACTCAGCTCATGAGCCAGCAAGCCACTGGCATCCAGCTCTCCACCGCTCCCCAGGAGCACTCTGCCAGCTCCCAGGAGCTTGACAGGGACTGACCCCAACATCCATGATCTCTGCACTAGACAGAGGAACACGGCCATCTATGGCAGGATAGCTGCTAGCCTGGCCACCAAAGGCCACATGCGAACCCAGGAGCAGGTTAGCATGAAAGTCAAGTTGCTCTGGCGAGACCCCCAACCCTGATCCCTGAGTTTCCCCTCCCCTTTCTTCCTCTTGCTTCCCCTTTCCAGCTCCCTCCTCCCAGGTTTCCCCCTCCCCTCCTCCAACCTCTCTCTTCCCCTCTCCCACCTCCTTTTCCCAGTCTCCCCAGAGGTTCATCCCCCCCAGTTTTGTTTAATAAACCCAGTTTCTATTTTTGAACATACGTGTCTTTTATTTAACATCAGGAAGGGGGCCGAGGAAGGGGTAAGTGGAAGGTTGTGAGGGAGGAATGGGGCACGAGCCCCCACTGGGGAGGACCGGGGAGGCTTTGAGGGCTCTGAGGGCTCTGAGGGGTGGACGCTCTACCTCAGGGCCTACTGGATCCTGACAGCCCCCCGGTGGACTCCCCGGATGGCAATCTGCAGCAAGTGCAGCCAGGCTGATGGCAATGATCCCACGAGACGCACCGGCATGCCCAGGGGCAGCTCTGGTTCCATGTGGCTGAATGCTGTGGTGTCCCGAGTGTGGGCACTCCAAGACAGGACTTCTTTGCTGTCCCTCATCAAAGTAGACAAGCAAGCGGGAAACACTGAGAACTGTCTGTCCGGGGTGGGGGTAGGGTCCCTTTAACCACGGAGCTCAGTTAGCCTCAGGCAGCAGCCCCACACACTAAATCCTAACCTGATGCCATGCTGGCACTGGTTCCAGCCAGCCTTAACTTTGGTTCAGGGTCCACTCAGCGTAGATATGCTATTTTGAAATAGCAAAATGCTATTTCAAAATAGATTTTGTGTATAGATGCGTTATTTCGAATTAGCTTAATTCAAATTAACTATTTTGAATTAAGTTAATTTGAAATAGCACTGTAGTGTAGACATACCCTAGGAGGGTAGTGAAACAATGGGATGGGTTACCTAGGGAAGTGGGGGAATCTCCATCCTAGAGGTGTTTAAGTCTCGGCATGACAAAGCCCTGGATGGGTTGATTTAGTTGGGATTGGTCTTGCTTTGGGCAGGGGGCTGAACTTGATTACCTTCTGTGGTCTCTTCCAGCTATTATTCTATGATTCTATGAACGCCTTCGGGCTTCCCACTGGCTCTCACCTGAGCAGTCCAACGGGGCGATGCCGCGCTTCCCTGAGGCTCGTCTGGCAGAGCTGTAGCCATTTACACATGTACAGACAAAACTTTTGTCAGTGTTCTGGCAGGAAGCGTTTGGGCCACAGTGTGTGGGGTCCTGGGCACATTCATCGATATCTGGACAGGAGAAAACAGAACCAGAGTCATTCAGTGGCTGGGAAGGTGCTTGTGTTACCCCCAGTGGGTGGGAATTACAGGTCCCCCTATGGGCCAATGTGCAGGAGGATACTGCCTGAGGCCTGCCTAGGGACCCCCTGTTTTCTCTCCTCCCTCACGTGTCTCTCCTGGACCGGTGCACCAGGCTGGAAAGAGCACATAAGCTGTTTGTGGCCTTCCAGTCCTGGGAGGGAGAGGGAAGAGCAGGTAAGTGTGGTGCTCTGGCGCCTCAGTACATGAGAGGTGTCTTGGGGGGAGAGGCAGACAGGGGGTCCACAAGGCCGCAGGTGGAACCTCAGGAGGAGATGAGTTGCTCCGGTCCTCTGATATGAAGGAGGGTCACTCATGCAGCCCACTCACTATCTTTGGTTGCCAGCCAAGAGAGTAGCTGTTACATTTGGACCTAACTAATAAATCCCATGGACTCTATAAATATAATTATAGTCTATAAATATAATTAATGGAACATTTACCATTTAGGTCTGAAAACAGCTCTTATTTAGGAACACAGGGATGGCTAGACTGGGTCAGACCTGCAACCCCCTAGCGCAAAATCCTGCTTTCATCAGCGGCTGGAACTAGATGTTTTGGAAGATCATGTCAGATGTTCTTTCTATTTCTATCAATACCTAACCGTTCTTCAAAACATAATCAATTGGCAGCCTCTGAGATCCTGTGGCAGGGACTTCCACAAGTTAATGTTGCTCCAGGTAAATAAAAAAAAAGTTTCCTTTTACTCATTTTAGGAGCTGGATTATGACTGGCCCTGACACAGGTTCAGAGGAAGAAGGAACCTACAGGGAAATCCTCCCCACCCTCTTTGAGAGTCACACTTTTCTTCATATTCTTCCTGGTGGATCATGGTGTCTCAAAATTAGGTGCGAAGGAGGCGGGGTCACAGTATGCTCTTCCCCTCTGCATTTGCTAATGGTGCGGTCTGGACAATTGGAGGAGGGAAAGATGCAGCATCGACATGGAATTCAGTCCCCAACCCCATTCCACCCTGCACTGCAGTTTTTCCATTTTATTGGCTGTCCCCTCGTCAGAAACGAACAGATTGACCTGCGGGTGAAGCCGAATCAGTAAATTTGCTTGGCCACATCTCTCCCTTCCTTGCTCTCTTCATTCCTGTATCCTGCTGTACAGTCAGTGATGTCCTCGATACAGACCAAGTGGAAGACCCCCTCCCCGGGATGCTAATGCCGGCAACAGAACAGTTGACCCGTTACACGGCTCCCCTCCCCCAGCTGGGCTCAGGAGCTCACACTCACCCTGGCATGTCACGCTTTTATCAGTGAAATACTGCTCCCCAGTGCTAGCCTTAGACCCCCATTTGCAGGTGCAGCGATAGTTCCCGGAGATGACTTTGCAGGTTGAAAAAGTAGGACAAACTGTTGACTTTTCACACGCATCGTCTGGGAAATCAAGGAGGAAGGATTTAATTAAAATAAAACAATTTCCCTTTGAACCTTCACCCCCTTGCACATCTTTAATGGGCTTCACACTCATTCTTTCGGCCTACCTGCTTGCCCCAAGAGAGGACCTGGCAGAAGAGGTGGCTGGGGAGGTTGGATCAAGGCAGCTGGACCCTCTTCTAGGCCCCTCCCCTGCAGCAGAAAAGGAAAGTTCTGCAGGCCCCCTCCCCTGCAGCAAGAAAGGAAAGGCTGGCGGGGAGGGTAGGAACAGAGGATGGGTGCTGCAGGTGCTGATCCTGTGAACTGAATCCTCTGAGGAGAGGGGCTGTCGTGCCCATTTTCCATGCCTGGGGCATAACGCACACCGGGGCAGAGAACACTTGGGTTCTCGTATTTCCTGACTTCTGAGCGCTTGACTTGCAACCTTTAGCACACAGTTCCTCAAAGTGTGGGATGTGCCCCTGACGGGGGCATGAAATTATGTTGGGTCTGAATGGACCTGGGACATACCCCACAGGTGCACCTTGTGTGATCAGAGCCTAGCAATGGCTCATCGCACCTGTTCAGTTAGAAATGCAGAAGGAACCCTCATTGATTATGGAACTAAAAGGCAGCTCTGTTTAGCCCCCCTTGGAGCAAGTGGCTTTCTGGCAAGTGGGGAAGTGAGAGGCAGATGCAGCACAAGAGGCAGAAGAAAACGGAAAATCAGAACAAGGAAAACGCAGGGAAAGGACAGGAGGAAATGGGATGGAAAGTTCTTTGCCTGTTCAAAGCCCCTTCCAGCTACAGGACATACGGGGGGTTCAGATCTGGAGATTTTGCCCAGCTTTCCAGGCATCAACTTACCGGCGCTGGAGAAATGAGTCTCCTTGAAGCAGATGAGCCAGCAAAACCCTGAAAGAGCAGAAACAAGGGTAGAATCATAGAACACTACAACGGGAAGGGACCTTGAGACATCAAGTCCAATTCCCATCAAGTCCAATTCCCTGCTCTCACGGCAGAACCAAGCACCATCTAGATCATCCCTGACAGGTGTCTGCTCTTAAAAATCTCTAGTGATGAAGATTCCACAACCTCCCAAGGCAATTTATTCCAGAGTTTAACCACCCTGGGTATGTCTACACTACAGAGTTAGTTCGAACTAACGGACGTTAGTTCGAACTAACTTTAATAGGCGCTACACTAGCGCTCCGCTAGTTCGAATTAAATTCGAACTAGCGGAGCGCTAGTGTAGCGCCTATTAAAGTTAGTTCGAACTAACGTCCGTTAGTTCGAACTAACTCTGTAGTGTAGACATACCCCCTGACAGTTAGGATGTTCCTGTGGCACTGGACTTTATTGTATTTACTCTTCAGAGGCTGTGTGGACTAGTGGGCAGAGTGATGGACAAGGCCCTGGGAGATGGGGGGTTTATTCCTGGCGCTTTCCAGGCATCAACTTACCGGCGCTGGAGAAATGAGTCTCCTTGAAGCAGATGAGCCAGCAAAACCCTGAAAGAGCAGAAACAAGGGCAGAATCATAGAACACTACAACGGGAAGGGACCTTGAGACATCAAGTCCAATTCCCCTCAAGTCCAATTCCCTGCTCTCACGGCAGAACCAAGCGCCATCTAGATCATCCCTGACAGGTGTCTGCTCTTAAAAATCTCTAGTGATGAAGATTCCACAACCTCCCAAGGCAATTTATTCCAGAGTTTAACCACCCTGGGTATGTCTACACTACAGAGTTAGTTCGAACTAACGGACGTTAGTTCGAACTAACTTTAATAGGCGCTACACTAGCGCTCCGCTAGTTCGAATTAAATTCGAACTAGCGGAGCGCTAGTGTAGCGCCTATTAAAGTTAGTTCGAACTAACGTCCGTTAGTTCGAACTAACTCTGTAGTGTAGACATACCCCCTGACAGTTAGGATGTTCCTGTGGCACTGGACTTTATTGTATTTACTCTTCAGAGGCTGTGTGGACTAGTGGGCAGAGTGATGGACAAGGCCCTGGGAGATGGGGGGTTTATTCCTGGCGCTTTCCAGGCATCAACTTACCGGCGCTGGAGAAATGAGTCTCCTTGAAGCAGATGAGCCAGCAAAACCCTGAAAGAGCAGAAACAAGGGCAGAATCATAGAACACTACAACGGGAAGGGACCTTGAGACATCAAGTCCAATTCCCCTCAAGTCCAATTCCCTGCTCTCACGGCAGAACCAAGCGCCATCTAGATCATCCCTGACAGGTGTCTGCTCTTAAAAATCTCTAGTGATGAAGATTCCACAACCTCCCAAGGCAATTTATTCCAGAGTTTAACCACCCTGGGTATGTCTACACTACAGAGTTAGTTCGAACTAACGGACGTTAGTTCGAACTAACTTTAATAGGCGCTACACTAGCGCTCCGCTAGTTCGAATTAAATTCGAACTAGCGGAGCGCTAGTGTAGCGCCTATTAAAGTTAGTTCGAACTAACGTCCGTTAGTTCGAACTAACTCTGTAGTGTAGACATACCCCCTGACAGTTAGGATGTTCCTGTGGCACTGGACTTTATTGTATTTACTCTTCAGAGGCTGTGTGGACTAGTGGGCAGAGTGATGGACAAGGCCCTGGGAGATGGGGGGTTTATTCCTGGCGCTTTCCAGGCATCAACTTACCGGCGCTGGAGAAATGAGTCTCCTTGAAGCAGATGAGCCAGCAAAACCCTGAAAGAGCAGAAACAAGGGCAGAATCATAGAACACTACAACGGGAAGGGACCTTGAGACATCAAGTCCAATTCCCCTCAAGTCCAATTCCCTGCTCTCACGGCAGAACCAAGCGCCATCTAGATCATCCCTGACAGGTGTCTGCTCTTAAAAATCTCTAGTGATGAAGATTCCACAACCTCCCAAGGCAATTTATTCCAGAGTTTAACCACCCTGGGTATGTCTACACTACAGAGTTAGTTCGAACTAACGGACGTTAGTTCGAACTAACTTTAATAGGCGCTACACTAGCGCTCCGCTAGTTCGAATTAAATTCGAACTAGCGGAGCGCTAGTGTAGCGCCTATTAAAGTTAGTTCGAACTAACGTCCGTTAGTTCGAACTAACTCTGTAGTGTAGACATACCCCCTGACAGTTAGGATGTTCCTGTGGCACTGGACTTTATTGTATTTACTCTTCAGAGGCTGTGTGGACTAGTGGGCAGAGTGATGGACAAGGCCCTGGGAGATGGGGGGTTTATTCCTGGCTATGCTGGTGGAGTGCAGCCAAATCACAGCCCCCCCAGTCTGTGTCCCCTGGGGCTGGCTTCTCCAATCTGTTTAGATGTTCTCCAGAACAGACTCTGTGTCCATGCAGCTGGGTTCAGCGATCACGGTAGCTTTTGTTGAGCAAGGGGCCCTGTGTGTCACCTCTGGGCTGGGGACCAGCAGCAGAATCAGGAATGTCAGGGCAGCATGTCCGTGTAATCAGTAAGGGTATGTCTACACTACAGCACTAATTCGAACTAACTTAATTCTAACGAAGCTAATTTGAATTAGTGCATCTAGACCTAAAAACTAATTTGAATTAGAATTTTTTTAATTCGAACTAGCATGTCCACATTGAGTGGACCCTGAACCGAAGTTAAGGCTGGCTGGAACCAGTGCCGGCAGGGCATCAGGTTAGGACTTAGAGCGTGGAGCTGTTGCCTCAGGCTAGCCGAGGGATGTACTTAAAGGGATCCAACCCACACCCCGAACAGACAGTTCTCAGGACTCCCTGCTTGCTTTCAGTCCTGTCTTGGAGTGCCCTGAGTGCCCACACTCGACACATCACTGCACTCGGCCATCAGCCCGGCTGTACTTGCCACAGGCTGCCTTCCAGGGGGGTCAATCGGGGGGCTGTCAGGATCCAGGAGGCCCTGCAGGAGAGCTTCCACCCCGAGGAGCCTGCAGAGCCAGCCCAGTCCTCTCCATCGGGGGCTCGTGTCCCATTCCTCCCTCACCTCCTTCCACTTACCCCTCCCTAGCCCCCCTTCCTGATGTAAAAAATAAAGGACACGTGCTCAAAAATAGAAACTCTCTTTATTTAACAAAACTGGGGGGGAGGATTAACCTCTGGGGAGACTGGGAAAAGAAGGTGGGAGAGGGGAAGAGAGAAGGAGGGAGAGGGTAGGGGGAAACCTGGGAGCAGGGAGCTGGAAGGAGGAAGCCAGAGGAAGAAGGAGGAGGGGAAGTATAAAGCTATGGTACGTCATATCTTCAGTACTGCGTAAAGATGTGGTCTAACCTCAAAGAAGATATTTTGGCCTTGGAAAGGGTTCAGAAAAGGACAACTAAAATGATTAGGGGTTTGGAACAGGTCCCATATGAAGACAGGTTAAAGCGACTGGGACTTTTCAGTTTAGAAAAGAGGAGACCGAGGGGGGGGATATGAGAGAGGTATATGAAATAATGAGTGGTGTAGAGAGGGTGAATAAAGAAAAGTTATTTATTAGTTCCCATAATAGAAGAACCAGAGGACACCAAATGAAGTTAATGGGTAGCAGGTTTATAACTAATATGACTACAGCGTGTAGTCAGCCTGTGGAACTCCTTGCCACAGGAGGCTGTGAAGGCTAGGACTATAACAGAGTTTAAAGAGAAGCTAGATAATTTCATGGATGTTAGGTCCATAAAAGGCTATTAGCCGGGGGATAGAATTGGTGTCCCTGGCCTCTGTATGTCAGAGGCTAGAAAAGGATGGCAGGAGACAAATCGCTTGATCATTGTCTTCAGTCCACCCTCTCTGGGGCACCTGGAGTTGGCCACTGTCGGCAGACAGGATACTGGGCTAGATGGACCTTTGGTCTCACCCAGTACGGCCGTTCTTATGTTCTTGTGTTATGTTCTTATGAGTTGGGCTGCCTGCGATGCCCTCACTACTATCACAGGACACTAAACTCCAAGAAGCTCTGGGAGACAGACCCATAGTCTCCTATAGACAACCACCTAACCTCAAGATGATTCTTACCAACAACCACAGGACATACCACACTAATACCAACCCTGGTACTTTCCCTTGCAACAAACCCCATTGCCAGCTTTGTCCACATATTCACTCTGCTGACACCATTATTGGGCCTAACCAAGTGAGTTATAAGATCAAGAATACATATTCCTGCGCATCCAGAAATATAATCTATGCTATCATGTGCCGAAAGTGTCCGTCTGCTATGTACATTGGACAAACGTCTCAGACACTTCGCCAAAGAATCAATGCCCACAAAACTTTCGACACATGATAGCATAAATTATATTTCTGGATGCGTAGGAATACGTATTCTTGATCTTATAACATGAATCCTACTCCAGAAGACTTTCAAATCTGCACTTGAAAGGGAATCCTCTGAACTGTCATTCATGCTAAAATTCGACACTCTCCGCGGGGGGCTGAACAAAGACCCCAACTACCTTACCCATTACAAAGATAGCTTCCCCAATTATCACTTCTAATACCATTAACTCACAGACATCTACCCTTCCCCACCTCTAATATCATTAACTCACAGGCATTTACCTTCCTTTCCCCCCCCCCCACGCATCTACCTTCTGCTCTGAAATGTGATTTGTCCTTTTCATATCTGTTCATTTTTTTTTTTAATTGTATCCTTTTGTATATAGGGTTGTGACTATTTTCTTCCACTATTTGATCTGAGGAAGTGGGTCTGGCCCAAGAAAGCTCATCATCTAATAAACCATCTTGTTAGTCTTTAAAGTGCTGCATAGTCCTGTATTTTGTTTCAGCTACACCAGACTAACACAGCTACATTTCTATCACTATTAATAATTCTTAACA